CCCTATTTACAGGAGCCTGACGTCTTCTGGGACCTGCGGCGGGGTAGGACCCTATATTCTGCCCTGGTAGACCACCGGGATTTTCAGAGGTTATGACGTTTCATCCTCTATAGAGATATCCACCTCGGAGTCCCAAAGCTCTTCGGACTAGTAAACACTTCTTAGATCTCCATTTCCAGCCTTAATTTTCCGACCTGGATTATTTCTCGGAAATCTTGGACGCTTCCCAAGTTTCTATTCTCAATGGAGGTCCTCCAACCAAGATCCCTGGACATCTTCCAAGTTTCTATTCTCAATGGGAGTCATCCAACCAAGATCCCTGGACATCTTCCAAGTTTCTATTCTCAATGGGGGTCCTCCAACCAAGATCCCTTGCCCTCTGTCCTGGACAGAACTCCACGCCTGTACGTCCTTGTTTCTTGTGGCCCGGTAAAAATACCGGGCGCCTGGATCTTGCACCAGATGCCCAACAAAAATGCCGGGCTAAGATGGCTGCTCACTGCCCAACAAAAATGCCGGGCTAAGATAGCTGCTCCCTACCCGACAAAAATGCCGGGCCAAGATGGCTGCTCACTGCCCGACAAGAATGCCGGGCTGACCTCATCCCGCAACTCTAGGGGATCCGGTAGATGGCCCTGGCGTTGCTGGTGGAGCAGCGCAGGACCTCCTCAACCGGAACCCCTCGGGCCTGGGCCACGAGCATGGCCACATCCCCAATCCTGTGGGGGGTATTGATACCCCCTCCCCCAGGGCTGAGATGAGGGGAGTCTGTCTCCAGGAGCAGTCGATTCTGAGGAATCGACCGGAGACCCTCCTTTTGCCACCTGTCAAACCCCTGCACCAGGGAGTTGACGCTGAAGTAAGTGCTGGGGAACTCTGCCAGCCAGGCAGTCACATCACTGGCTCTCCCAGTGAAACTATGGAGATGAACCACCCGGGTGGGTGGTAACTTCTCTTTGACTAGCCTGAGGGCCAACCCCTGCACATCCGACCCGTAGGGGTCACCCTTACTCCCTCTCAGGTGCAGCATCAGGATTTGGTCTGCCGTAGGGATGGTGATAACCTTCCGCAGCACCTCTTCCTGGCGGGCCCATGTATGCGATGGTGTCGTCCTGTCTAGCCCTACCTCTCCCAGGGCTCTGACGTTTGGGGAGGACGTCAACAGGTCCACCAGTCCTGCCAGTTGCTGGTGGTCAAAGTCCCCAGCGTGCTTGGGGTGAACTCTCACTGCGACCTTCCACCTGGGGACATTGTCGACCCGGCTGGGGTACGTGGCCGGGTCACAGAAGACGGTGACTCCCCCCACCAGCTGGACCGGCTTCTGGACGCCCTGCTTGGCTCGAGGGTGGTCCAGGAGGTCATCGACCGAGAGGCCCCGCCGCTGCCCCAGCAGGTCCCTCCCGGTCCGGTCCAAGTGGAAATGGACGTCAATGGCCTCGAGACCCGGTTCTTCGTCAGAGGTGGCCTCCACCTCCGAGCTGGCAGACCAGGTGACCACCCGGCCCGCTGCCTTCGGCCTCTTGTCCTGCCTCCCTTCTTCCTGGCGCTGGAAGCGCAGGGTTTCCTGCCGACCCCGTTCACCCACAGGCTCCAGCATGGTCCTGAATTCGTTTCTCCTGGGGCCCTCCAGCTCTGCCAGGAGTGCCACCAGGACACGCCAGTGGGCGAGGCAGGTCCGTGAATTCACCGGCCGCAATTTAAACTCCCTGGGCACCGACCACTTTTGATGGTGGCACAGGGCCCGCAAGTCCTCCGCAGCCTCGGGGGATACCTTGCACTCTTCGGGGACCCGGCGCCCGTGGTCAGCACGCACTTGAAGGTCTTCCAAGGTGGCCCCGGGACCGACAAGGAGCGACGCCAGGTGACGTAGGGCCCGGACTCTATCCTGGTCAGCCTCCCACTCCCCGTGAAGTACAGGGGCAAGTGGGCCATTTGAACATGTTGTTTGAGTTTCCGTGACCTCACTCCGCATCCTGGCACCGGACACGCTGAACACCGGTCCCTGGTCACCCCACGGGAATGCGGGGTAACCGCAGAGACGCTCGGCCGACGTTGGGATGGGGGAGTCGCAGAGTTCCTGGGCAGTACTGGTACTTGGAATTCTGGTTCCCGCCGTGGGTGACTGTGCGAGCGTCGAGGGACAGAAGACCGCCGCCTGACAGAGGACTGCCGCCTTGAGGGCGACAATCCCCCGGTCACTTGGCGCTCCCCGCCCTCCGCTCCTGCAGGACACCAGACCTGCAACGCCTTCTTCCTCGCCCCGCCTCTGCTCCCCTCATCCCACGACTCGTTGGAGGAGCTTGCCCGGCCTCTCTTCCGGGCGTTCCTCCCCAACTTGTCTACGTCTGTCATGGTCACCCCTCTCCCACGGGGTATCATTCGGGGTGGCCGGGAGAAATCGACCAGAGGTCCCTCCGGTGACTTGGCCCGGTCCACCGGTGACTTTGCCCGGTCCACCACCACCGTCCTGCTCAGGTACTTCTCAGGCATCAGGATGTCCTCGATGGTCACGTTTACCTTCCCCTCATAGTATGGCATGAGGCCTGGATCTTCGCTTTCGCTCCCGCTGCTTGACATTTCTTTTCTCTTGGTTGTTTAGTCGTGTTATTCGCTTGGTAGCTTTGCTCGCTCGTCTGGTTAGCGTTGGAAAACTTCCTGCAAGAGAAAGCATCTTGTTTACTTAACCTATCTACCTACAGGCTAAGCAAATTACGTTTTACCCTACCCTGCAGGGTGGGCACTCATAGTGTTCCATGGTTTCGGCCTCTTCCGGCTTCACTCCGACGCAGGCCCCATGAAACCACCAGTCACACTTATCACATCCTATCATGAAAGATCCGTCATCTGGCCTCCGACACACACAGAACAGCTCTCCTTCGGGTGACTCTTGATCTGGCTCCTCATAGAGCCAGTCTAGCCCCAAGTCATCCACTGGCCTACCCGGTTTCCTTCTCTGGAGCCAGATGGGCAAGTCCCTGTCTCTACAGGGCTTAATACGGTCATGGTGTACCGTCATCTCCTTCCGAGGACCCTGGACCACAAACAAATTGGCGGTCCGCTTCCTTACTATCAAGTAAGGCCCCTTCCACACTGGGCACAGTTTCTTGCATTTTCCCAACATGGTCGCTGAGTTCAGGAGGTAGACAGCATCGCCTTCCTCGAAGGTTCTTGTAAGGGTCTTGAGATCATAGTCCTTTTTCATTCTCACCACCGCAGTTTTCAGCCGACTCCTGGCTAGGTCATGAGCTTCCTGTATAGCGTACTTGAGGTCCCTGACATAATCGGAGAGCCCCGATTCTTCCTCCTCCGTGGGTTTCCCAAACATCAAATCCGCAGCAATGTTGATTTCTCGCCCTAACATCAGTCGGTTGGCTGTGAAGCCCGTATGTCGGTTGACTGAAGACCGGATTGCACTAGCTAGCTGTGGCAGGTACTCATCCCATGAGGATTGGGACTTCCCGATGTGACATCGTACAATTTGCATGAGTTTTCTGTTGTACCTCTCCACCTGACCATTGGAGGATGGTCCATATGGGGTAGTTCTGGATTTGGTTACTTTCAGTAACTCACAGATGGCCCGGAAAAGTTTGCTTTCAAAATTTCTTCCTTGATCCGTATGGATCTGGAATGGAAAACCAAACCTGCCGAAAAACTCATTAACCGCCGCTCTAGCCGTCTCTTCCGCCTTCTGACATGGCAAGGGAATGCACTCGACCCACTTGGTGAACTGATCCACCATCATGAGGATAAACTCATTTCCCTTTTGACTCTTTGGTAGTGAGCCTACGAAATCCAAGTGTACCCTCTCCATCCGGGCTCCTGCATGAAAGCATTCCATCTTGGCTCTGACATGTTTCAGTGGCTTTTTGTTGCAAGAACACTGTCTGCAGGTAGCAATGTACTCTCGAACATCTTGAGAGCTGCGATACCAGAAATACCTAGCTTTTAGTCGCTCTCTTGTCTTTGCTACCCCAAGGTGTCCAGCTGTGGGGATGTCGTGCAGGCACCTCAATATCTCCCCCTGCAGTCCCTTGGGGATCATGAGCCTTGTTGGGGTCTGCTCGGTTCGGTCTTCTTTTGTTACCAGGAGAGCATGTCTATCTTTTGTAAACATTTCTTTGTTGATCCAGTAAAACTGGGGGGCTTGATAGATAGAGTTCAGCGTCTGTGGGGGCTTTTCCCTCTCCATCCATTCTCGAACCCATCTTAAGTCTGTGTCTTCCTGTTGAGCATTGAATATTTCCTCCTGGGAATACCCAAACGAGCCTGAGGATTCCACATCTCCTTCCTGGGGCTCCTCGACTGACGATCTGACAGTCACGCCCCCTCCCCCATCCACTTCGATGGCTACAGTTCCTACTCTTGCATTTAGGTCCTCAATACTCTTCACTTTTCCCTTTGAGAACTCCGCCAACAGATCTTCGGTGGTGCAGAAAACTCTGGACGTCACTCCGGGGGGACAGCCTGGTACTTCAAGTACTTGATTTGATCGGACCCTTGGGGTCCGGCTGGCAAGCGGGACCGTGTAGTCTACCATTTCTATAAAGTTCCCCCAGTTCTGGTGGGCTTTTGGCAGTATCTACACCCTCCACAGGGCAAGGATTCAATTTCCATGGTAGAGCGGTAGCGTTCACAGGAGTCTTCAACAGGAATCCTTGATAAGCTGTCTGCATTTTGATGTTTCGCTCCCGGTCGATGCTCTACCGTCATGTCATACTGGCTTAACTCTTCGAGCCATCTGGCTAATTGCCCTTCAGGAGCCTTGAAGTTCAGCAACCATCGCAAACTACTGTGATCTGTTCGGACAGTGAAGGGACGCCCTAAAAGGTAATGTTGATACTGCCGGGTGAAACGGATAACGGCCAGCAGTTCCTTTCTTGTGGTGCAATAGCGCCTTTGCTCTGGGGATAGTGCGAAGCTTCCATAGCTGATGGTGCGTTCCTTTTCATCTTGTACTTGGATAAGTTCTGCCCCAATGGCGTATTGGGAGGCATCTGTGTCTAATATGGAACGACCTGTGTTTCTGGGAGGCCCAGGACTGGTGGGGACATAAGGTCTTCTTTCAGCTCTTCAAAGGCCTCTTGCTGTTCACTCCCCCAGTCGAATGGCTTCTTTCCCATAATGTTATAGAGGGGAACGGCCATCTTAGCATAGTCTTTTATGAACACCCTGTGATAATTGGCTAGTCCCAGGAAACTTTCCACTTCCCTGGTCGTCCTTGGGATAGGCCAATCTTTCACCACTGTCAGGTCCTCTTCATTGATCTGGATCTGTCCGGGGCTGATAATCCTGCCTAGAAATTCGATTTTCCTCTGGAATAGGACACATTTCTTGGGTTTCAGTTTCAAGCTGTAGTTCCGGAACCTCTCCAACACTGCCCTCAGGTTGACAAAGTGCCCGGGTATTCCCGGACCGTTCACTACCGCATCGTCGAGGAAGGCCAGAACGATGTCCCAACTCAGTCCGCTCAAAATCAAGGACATTACCCTGGCGTATGTGGCTGGGGCATTGCAAAGGCCAAAGCCCATCCGGACGTGTTCGAACAACCCATACTTGGTAACAAAGGCAGTCTTCTTGCGATCTTCCTCTTTGATCTTTATCTGCCAGTAGGCAGAGTTGGCGTCCAGCTTGGAGAACCACTGACTGTCAGCGAGAGTGTCGAGACATTCATCTATCAGCGGCAAAGGGAAGACATCCTTCGAACAAACTGAATTCAGCGATCTGTAGTCGACGCACCAACGTACCCCTCCATCAGACTTGCGTATGAGCACCGGTGCTGCGGCCCACTCGGAAGTAGATAGTTGAATGACTCCTGCCTTAAGCATTTTGGTGAGATGGGCTTCTTCCTCCTCCGCGAACCCAAGAGGTGTTCTTCGCATCCTCTGTTTAATTGGCTTGGCATCCCCGGTATCAATGGTGTGTTCTAGGGCGCTGAAGTTGCCTAGATCTAATTCATCTCGAGCAAACACATCTTGAAACTCAATCAAAAGCTCGGCCAACTTCCTTATGTCTGGTAATTTGAGATGTGTGGAAGAACGATAGTACAAGTCTTCCAAATGTTGTGGTGGATTAGGAAATGGAGTCGATGTGACACTTTCATCGTCCGTCTGTGAGTCGATGTCCCCTTCATCCTGATGAGTGGTTTCACTCCAGCCCTGGCCTTGGGAATCTTCATCCGGGTTGATTTCCTCCACCTCTGAGGCTAAGCCTACCTCTTGTCCTTCACTTAGCTTGACAGTACTCTCGGTGGGATTTATCATGCATATGATTGGTTCTTTGCCTGGCCCATGCAGTATTCGGGGGATAAGAACTTTTCCCAAAATGGTCTCATCGGGCTCCGTCATATACTGGCGGAGCTCCTCGGTGAGCGCACACTGGACCATTCGCACAGAGATTGGGGGAATACTAGTCTTGGATGCCATCCGGATTCCACACCCTGCGGGACCTCTTCGTGACTTGATCATCATAGGAACTTCCATTCCACCGACAACTAAGACATGCTCCTCCAGGTTAATGCTATTGCAATGGCGAAGGATGAAATCTGCTCCCAGTAACATGTCGTCTTCTATTGGCACCACACATATGGGCAATCGATAGGTTTTCCCTTGGATACGTATTCTAGTCATATCCGTTATGAAGCCTTTCATTTTGAGGTCTCTCCCGGCATTCTTCAGCACGACTTCTTGTACGGTGGGTGGTTGGTCCGTCGATTTACGGAACAGCTTGTCCGATATAACTGTCATTTCCGCTCCACTGTCAATCACAGCTTCCGTTGAGCAACCCTCTATCTCCAAGGTGATCATGATTGAGGCTCTGTGGGTCAAGGTGCTAATGTTAATCATTGGGAGGCCGGTTTCTTCATCGGTGTAATACCCTACTTGTTTTATGGATGAGTTAGGAAGGCCCAGGTGTGATAACATCGTTGGATCCGCTGTCCATGGTGCGACTTGATCGGACCCCGCCATTCCTGTTTCCAGTACCTCAGCTTCCTTCTTGGTAAAGGGAAACTCTGGCTTCTCTTCAAATGTCCTGTCAGGGGGGCGTGGTGGGTTGCCCAAGGTATCCCCTAAATGGTTGAGTGAACTCTGACCTGCTTCTGTCAGTCCTGTTCCCACTCCTTCCTTTTCTTCTTGGGTGAGTAGAAACGCTGGTTTCAGTTCAACTGTTGGGTCCGGAGGACGTGGCGGGTTGCCAAGGGTATCCCCCAAGTGGTTGAGCGTACTCTGGTCTTCCAAATTGGATAGGTGCCCCTCCGACTCTTCTAAGTGGATGTATTCCGCCATGGGTTGCTTCAACGACTGGTCCATTTTGACGTCGGGTGGTCTTGTATTCTGGCCTAATGGGGTGATTGGGGATGAACTCAGGCCGTCTTGTTCATCCCCTGGAAGTTTGGGGAATCTGGTCGAGGAATCGTGAAGTTGACTTTCTTCTCGGGGTTGGGACTTCTCTTCGGACAGTTGGCTTTAAAATGTCCCCGCTCGCCGCAAGCAAAGCATCCGTCAGTGGGCCCCGGACTGGAACGGACGCGGGCTCTTGATATGTTCACCGCCAACTTCGTCACCAACCTCTCAAATCTCCGGTCCATGGCTAACTCCGGTCCATCGTTCACTCCTGGATGTGACTCCATGCTCAGGTGCTCCCGTATCTCCGCTTCCTCAGATTGTATTTGAGTACCTCCTTCTTGTCTGCCAATCTCGGCCCTACGTAGCTGGTCCTGCAGCCGTAATATCTCTTCTTCCGCCCTCGCCCTCTCTTCTTCAGCTCTACTTAATTTCTGTAGATACTCCTCCTCCCTCTCTCGACGTTCTTGTTCCTGCCTTCGTGTGGACATCTCCCACTGATATTGTTCTCTGTATATCCTTTCCCGTTCCCACTACAGTACCTCAAGGTCCCTTGAGTACTTGTCCAAGGGCGAACCTGGAAATTCAACCCTCTCCACTGTCCGAAAGAAATGGGTGGTGTCTGCCGCCTTATAAGGGTAGTGGGGCGCTGGAGTAGCGTCCTGACGTGATGGCAGGTCACGGCGATGGTAATCAGGAAGGGGCGAATGGTGTTGGCTCGACGAACCGCGCCCACGGGGGGCTGGTGAATACCTGCCCTGGGCAAGGTGCCCCTGGGCCGGAGATGATGTGATACTGCCTGTCCTGCCCTTTGTGGAGCCATGTGTCCGATTGATTGGTGGTACTGAATGTGCTGAGGACACACTAGCAGGTGAAGTGGGCCTGTGAACGGCTGGCGTTTCCGGCGGTGTGTCCATGGTTATGTTGAAATCCTTTGTTATTACAGCTCACAGTCTATGATGTCAGCTAACACTGTATACACTACAACATTTTTGACACTGTTGCTGACTTGAATTACCAGGCAATTGTAAATATTCCTAATAGCAGAATTGGTACACTTCGGCCTCAATATACACTTAGATGTATTAAAATCCGTGTTCCCACAGTATATTGAAATGACTGGCGCGACGACATGTTCCCTTCGTCGGACTTTTACACCAGATTCACGGATTTGTTCACAGCGCCATTATAGTGAGAACTCATGTCGGTGCTATTAATAGCACCAGTGGCACTAGTTGACACTATTGCGAGTCGGCTATATTAACAAAGTTAAGCGAAAGGTCAGAAAGACGTCTACTTACTTTGATTGCTTTGAACTCGACTGTTTCCCTCATGGGCTCCCGGCTAGCTGATTGGCTGGGAGGATTTCCGGGTCCTGCTGCTTCCCGGGCACGGGCTGCGGCTCTCGGTTATCTTCGGCAGTAGTGGCGGACATGGCAGACCACCACAATATATTTGCGATCACGCAATTTCTTATGTACGCTTCGGGTTGGAATTATCAAGAGGATATGGTTGTTTGGCTGCCATTGCTGAACGAAAGTTTAAACAACACCACACCGGGCTCTGAGAAGTTTTCTTGTTTGTTTGTTTTTTTATAACACGCCATTTTGTAAAAGTGGGTCACAGGTAGTGATGTCATACGTCAACATTGTTGTACATATTTGGTAATTTCTTTGAGGTGAAGGTCCTTGAATGAGAGTGCACACGATTTCTGTATCATGCTGTTTACAGTTTCAGTTATGGTGTATATTTTGCATGTCTTTTATACATTTTTTCACACAATTAATTTCACTTTGGATATTTGTCAACGTTCAAAATGAAATCATACGTACATATAGGCCACAACATGTATGAACGAACCTTTGATAATCTCCTGTTTGTTTGAACATTGTTTACATAACAACGTGATAGTTTTATAGTGTCAACTACGATATTTCTTTCCTTTGGACAAGGGTTACAAGATGAAGTGTAAATGTAACTGCAGCATGTATACGTATGTCTTGGGATGTGTAATAAGTCAATATTATAAGTTCATATAACCAATGTCCATGAATAGCCGTTTCATTTTATTTTATAACTAAAACTGAATATATTACTTTAACAAAATGGATAATATTTTTCGGTAAAATATATGCACACATTTCTGAAATGTCTTGGTCATGGATTTGTCTTTTATGTCGTTGGATACAGAGAACAGTGCTATCCAACGATTCGCCAGTTGCGCGTTAGTCACAAACATTTTACGAATTATTCCTCTCGTTTTGCATTATATAATCAATGGTTTCATTCTGTTTTCAATATTGTGATCACAGGATAGTAAACAGTTTACTTTATTTCTCCAGGAATTGTAAAATGTATAAAAATAAAACCCATGCCATGTACCCTGTTGGTTCAAACGTATACGATTATGCTGATAATTCTATACCAATAGAGCTTTCTTTGCATCTTTTATTGTGTAAGAAAAAATAACATAATCATGAACAAATATATATCCAATATTGAATATAATTTTGGTTGTTTTGAAATATTCTTTTGGGAATTTCATTACGTAAATTGATGCCAAACAGGTGCGCGTCTTGTCCAATTAAGATACAAGATAAACTATCTAATTGTTTACATATTTAAGACATTATTTACTTGGTGAGAGCAGTCATTTTATGTTGTGTCGAAAAAGCGTCAAATTCCATTCCACTCATCGAGATTTTCCATAACATGAACGAAAATTAGGGGAGATATATATTAATCAAAATACCAGTGTCATCTTTTTCCGACGTTATCAAAGACATAAAACCAGCAATGACGTCAAAAGGAATGGTGTTATTTTTAGGGTATTTCATTACATTGATGATAAGGCTTGTGCTCCATTAATAATGATGCAACATTAGTCGAATTACACTTACACAATCAGGAGAATGTTGGAATCAAAGTACTAAGTAATAGGTTAGATAAAGCCATCCATTTCTCTGTTACCTCCTATTTAAGAAGTACGATTTTATCATTTCTTATGGGTATATTTTATAACTAAACGTGTACAGTTTCAATATCGATATTTGTGTTGGAATAGTTTGGTTCCTCCTGAACAAAACACCACGAAAATATATTGTCCTTACCCACCGCTAATTCAAACCAAGTGACCTGAGTTACAACAAACTAGAGCTAAGCATAGCGGAGTTATGCCCCCTTTTCTCTGTACGTGTGTAACCTCTCTGTCACCTTTTGACGTCATAGAGAAAAATCAGTTTTCGTCATTTACGGCATGCTATTTTTGGAATTGAATGTATGTCGTTATACATACGCATACAACTCCATTTGATATGTAGTTATGTCGTTCAGATATTAGGCAGTATTTTGTTCGCTCACAGTTTCCGTAAAGCTTCTTAATAAATTTTTTTGTCGCACAGTACTTTTATCAGTGTACGATAAAAAGCCGAGAAATTTACTGTTTTTCAACGCAGAATAAATTCTCGGACAACACTTAGGAGTGTCTGTTTTTAAAACCGGTTTGATATTTATAGTTAAATTTACACCATCAAATGGGAAATTAAATATACTCCACCTCTGCCTAATTTTATAGCCAGAGGTAGATCCAGTGCCGCGTGAGCGCAATTCTCGCACAACCTTCACTTTTCCGATCTTAGGAAAATGTGCGTCAGAAAAAAACCTCGGCATCCAGAGGGTTAAACTTTCGTTCAGCAATGGCAGCCAAACAACCATATCCTCTTGATAATTCCAACCCGAAGCGTACATAAGATATACATATATTATAAATTAAGTTACAAATTGTGACACAAAAAATATCATGTGTAACAGAGAACTAGTTGTATCAAGTATGTGGTAGATTTGATCATATATTCGCATGTATATTTCGTGTAAAAATATGAAATTTTATGCACACAGGCTTTGTAAAGAAACAGTATTTTTTGGGTATTTGTCTGGCTCCTAGATATTTTCTACCTGATATGTATACAAGATTCTTCTCAGCTGTTGATGAATGGAGTTTGGACGCCCGGAGGTCATTCCTTCAAAAGGAGGAGGATGAAACGAAATCCGATTAGTGGTGCTTGTGTTGCCGTACACAGCCAGTTTCTGGATCTTAGGGGGGTTACCTCCCCTTGATACTACGTTAGGGTGGACCGTGGTTTTTACGAGAGTCTCTCTCAGAAGTTGCCGAGGTCACAAACAGGTTAGGGTCGACAGGCAAACTTATCGGGGTCGCCTTTAGGGTAATTATGGTGTCCGTCAAACTATGTTTTGTTAGTGTAGAACAGAAGTAGGGCGTATTGTTGTTGATTTGGTTTGTGATCACGTGGTTGTTCACCCAGGCTTGTTTGTAATGCTCGTCACCTGTTCATAGTACCATTATGGTTATACGTTTGATAAGTACGAACACCGTTGTAGCTTAATGTGTTGTGTGTGCCTGTATGCACCGCCTCTAGCGAGAAAATATACCTGTTTCTTTGTTTTAGTCCAGATACCTCGTACCAGTATGTATCGCATGTATGGTGTGAATTGTATAAGTGGGTGCGACGTGGTCTCTGTAAAGAATGTCCGTGTGTCGCCCAGATGGTATGAATTGTATAATTGTGAAAAGCGGCAATACTTTTGTTTGCACGTGGTTGGCATGAATTGTCAAATGTATGTATGGGACATTGTAGTGTGTGAATAAAGTTATGTGTTCTGAGATTCTTCTTGTGTAATTTATTTACCATTTATTATTTGAGCCTGATCAACCGATCCCGTTAGCCGCCTCTTACAACAAGCAAACTCGCATTTTACGGCAAGCATGGGTTGCTGAAGACCTATTCTACCCCAGATCTTTTACGTGGCACAACGAAACATGATCGAAAATAGGACATATATACGATCATTAATAGAATCGGCGATGAAGACAAGTTACTGATGAATTAGATGTAATTCCCTATTTCTAAACGTCAATAGAAGCACAATCGGCATATTTTGTTACAATC